ACCGTCCTAACACACTCATGACCCCACGGCTACGCCTCCGCCATCCTAACACACTCACGACCCCACAGCTACGCCTCCGCCGTCCTAACACACTCACAATTATTTCACTTCTCTGAAAGCTCTTCCTTACCTTTGAGTTGGTCTGTCTCCCCAGTAGCTCAGAGTCATAACTGGAAAAGGCCACTGTGGCCTTGAGTGGACATAAAACCCCGACCCAACATCCCTGGGAGTAGGCGGGAGACCCAGCCTGCAGCCCACACCGTAAGTTCGGATGTAAAGACGCGAAGGCAGTCCAGAGCAGTCCCATGTGCCTGCCTCCAGCTTCCCCGCTGGCAACATCTTACACTCCACGCCTACCCGTGAAGAAGAAACCAACCTCAGCACCTTCATACAAACTATTGTCAGACTTTCATGCGGACTTCCCCAGTTCTCCATTATTGTCCTCCTCCTGCTCCCAGGTCCATTCAGCAGTCATATTGCCCTAGTCTCTTTGGTTTGATGACAGTGCCTCAGTCTTTCCTTATTTGCATGAAGAGTAGTGTTCTTAAATTTGTAAAATAATACACAAATGCTCACGAAGGAAATGGGTTATATTGATAGAGAGTTATCAAAATATTAAAAACAGGGCCAGACTGGCATAGCATCTGCAAGGCTGGGCTCACAGAAGATCCTGGTTTCACGTCCCGAGATCTCCGTGCACACGCTGGGTGCGTATGCGTGCCCGCAATCCTGGCTGGCTACGGCTGGGGCAGATCGCAGTGTGAAGGTGCCTGTCTGAGTACCTCTCTCTCTGCTTCTTTCTCATGTAAGAGGTTAGTGGGTAAATTCTTAGAAAAAATTTTTCAAAAATTAATTTTTAAATAATTGGCATATGAGCTTCTTTCTTATGTTTTTGCTACAGGGCACTTGCACTCGCCAGAGAGAGAGGGAAAGTGAGAAAGCTGCCCCCAGGGGGGATGGCCACCCAGCAATCCCTTCTCCTCCATTTTCCTCTCTGGATTTTGGGCAGGCATGCACATGCACCTGGCATGAATTTCAAGCAGCCAGGTTCAGGACTCAAATCACAGTGAGCCATATGGGGGCCCAGCACCTTACCCACCGCACCACCTGCTAGCCTGGCATGTGCTTCTTTACTAAGACATTAAGTAGGATCCAGTTCAACAGGTGTTCTAGTAACTGTGGCAACTTCAGAGTAGTGACTAATAAACATCCCAAGACTTTTATGGGTGACCAAGTCTCAGGAACTGCTACCACCACTATGGAATTGTTACCTACGTACAACCGAATATTAAATTTTACTTAAAAGTGACTAAACAATAAGCTGTCAAGTATTTTCCTACTGCAGCTCACAGACCTCCTGACGCTATCATGGGCCCACCATGGGACTCCCTGCTGTGGAGGAAAGAGAAAGATGAGCACGAACAGCCCTGAAGTGAGGTTTCTCCCAACGTGGCCACTTCGGGCTTCTGACATCGGATGGGTTTTTTCCCCCAAATCATTAACCCAGTTTGCAAAGAGTTGCTACACAGTGACGCACAGCAGGTGGAATGAACTGAACTCTAGATGCACTGTTCCGAGTTGGCTGGAGGGGGAAGTGACACCCACGGAATCCCTGCCCACTCAGAAGAACGCCCATTAGAATAAAAATGTAGCTATGTGACCCAGAGTGTGTGCTGCTTCCATCACAGGAGCGCCAACTGTCACTATTTCAAACCTGGGCTTCTGAAATACTTGGTAAGTCACTTTTGTCTCAGAGCTGTTCGAATAATAGTGTTTTACCTCGAACTGCTCTCCTGACTTACGAAAGTGACTGTTTACTGTCCGGTCATTTCTCTAAGACGCCCAGAAGGTGCAATAATTAATGTCAACAACTGGCACAGCAAGCTCACTGTAATTAGAAAAATGGATGATTAAGGGTTACACAGTGGGTGCTTGCTTTATTCCTAAAATATCCCTGTACTGTGACCACCTCTGCCACTGAATGCCCCATTTCTTGGTTTTCTCCACAGTTTAAAACTTTTTTCCCATCAAAAATACAAAGTGACATTCAGTGAGTTTGTAACAAGTTACCATTGAAATGCATTCAGCCGAAATAGGAATCCAAGAAAGCATTACAGTCTTTAAAAACCCTTTTGCCCAAGCGACAGCGCCTGGAGGGTTGCATGTGCGGATGGCACGGCCTTGCTCACCAGCGCCGTCTTCTCCCAGCAGGCCCGAGATGCTCACGTCTCTTCCAGCCGGGCCTGCACCATCCTGCACAGCCTTGGAGACAGTGCGCTTTGTAAAGCTGTGCAGGACCAAGCGGCTGTTCCAGCCACAACTGGGGGCTATGGATGGGCCTTAAAAACTGGAGCAGTTTCTGGAAGGGCTGGCAGTAGAACACAGAAGCTCCAGGTGGAAGGAACCTGGAAGGCGAGCCAGGGCACCACCACCCACCACCATGTTCAAATGCCCTCAACAAGGCAAACGGCCATCTGCTCAGGATCGAGCACCTCGTCCCCCACATGTAAGTGCCCTTGTTGTAAGGGATTAAATGCAGGTGGAGACCTTAACTCAAAGTATTCCCAGGTATCTGCTCTGGGCCAGGCAGTGGGCCGGATGCAGAGACCCCGATCTGCAGAGTTTACCCCTAGGTCACATAGGCCAGGTGGGAATGCAAGCTAATAAGTATACAATCAAAACAAAGTGAGGGCCACAAAATAAGTATTAAGTACTGAGGAAACAGAAATGCTCCTGGGGAGGGCAGGGAGGCTTTGTAAGAAAGATGAACACTGGGGCCAGCGGGTGGTTAAGGTGCTAGACTCCCACTTGACCGGTCATGTTCAGTGTCCCAGATCTGGCAGCTTGAAAATCATGCAGGGCATGTAAGTGTGCTTGCCCAAAAACCCGAGAGGAGGATGGAAAAGGTATTGTGGTGTGGTCACACCCCTGGGGCGTGATTTCTCACTTTCCCTCCCTGTCTCTCTCTCCAGGGAATACACACGTCCTATGGCAAAATTGAACAAAACAAACAAAAACAGTGAAGATTTGAACTATGTCTTAAAGTACAATAAAATGGAAGCCAACAGGTGGAGTGGTGGTTAAAGCGCTGGACTCCCATGTGGCCAACTGCTTTGAGGGTCGAACCTGGTGCTTTGCTTTCTCACTTTCCCTTTCTCTCTCTCTCTTAAGTTAAAAATAACAAAATTAAATAATTTTTAAAAAGTGCAATGAAATGAATG